GGCCACAGGATTGGAAAAGGTCAGTTTGCATTCCAATTCTAAAGAAAGGCAATGCCAAAGAATGTTCAAACTATCGCACCATTGCACTCATTTCACATGTAAATAAAGTTATGCTTAAAATCGTACAAGCTAGACTCCAGCAGTATGTGGATCGAGAACTTCCAGAAGTACAGGCAAGATTTCGAAGAGGCAGAGGAACTAGAGATCAAATTGCCAACATACACTGGATCATGGAGAAAGCTAGGGAGTTTCAGAAAAACATCTACTTCTGCTTCATTGACTATGCTAAAGCCTTTGATCGTGTGGATCACAACAAATTGTGGCAAGTTCTTAAAGAGATGGGAGTACCAGACCATCTTATTTATCTCTTGAGAAACCTATATGCGGGTCAGGAAGCAACAGTGAGAACTGGGCATGGAACCACTGGTTCAAAATTGGGAAAGGAGTCTTGCAAGGCTGTATTCTGTCACCCTGCCTATTTAACTTATATGCAGAGCACATCATGAGAAAGGCAGGGCTAGATGAATCAAAAGTTGGAATTAAGATTGCCGAGAGAAATATCAACAACCTAAGATATGCAGATGATACCACTCTAATGGCAGAAAGTGAAGAGGAACTAAAGAGCCTCTTGATGCGGGTAAGAAGGAGAGTGCAGAAGTTGGCTTGAAACTCAACATTAAGAAAACCAAGATCATGGCATCTGGCCTTCTCAATTCCTGGCAAAAAATGGTGAAGAAATGGAGGTAGTGACAGATTTTATCTTCCTGGGCTCCAAGATCACCACAGATGGGGACTGCAGTCAAGAAATTAAAAAACGCTTGCTCCTGGGGAGGAAAGCTATGGCAAATCTAGACAGCATACTAAAAAGCAGAGACATCACCCTGCCAACAAAAGTATGTATAGTCAAGGCCATGGTTTTCCCAGTTGCAATTTATGGCTGTGAAAGTTGGACCATAAGAAAGGCTGAGCACAAAAGAATTGAGGCCTTTGAACTATGGTGCTGCAGTCCCCTGGACTGCAAGGCGATCAAACCAGTCAGTCCTAGAGGAGATCAACCCTGACTACTCTTTAGAAGGCCAGATCCTGAAGTTGAAACTCAAGTACTTTGGCCACCTAATGAGAAGGAAGGACTCACTGGAGAAGAACCTAATGCTGGGAAAGATTGAGGGCAATAGAAGAAGGGGACGACAGAGAATGAGGTGGCTGGATGGAGTCACTGAAGCAGTAGGTGTGAGCTTAAATGGACTCCAGAAGATGGTAGAGGACAGGAAGGCCTGGAGGAACGTTGTCCATGGGGTCGCGATGGGTTGGACATGACTTCGCAACTAACAACAAGAACAAATAGTTCATTGCAACCCGAGCCTTTACTTCTACTTGGAAATAAAACCTATTGTGCTGTTAAGAGTTACTCCCAAGAAACTCAAGATAAGATTGTAACAATGTAGCTTCAGTTTAATTACACTCTCCTGGGATTTAATAGAATTTGTTTCCAGAATGTTGCGTAATGAATGTCATTCAATAACCAGGGAATGAATATTAATGCTATTCAGCAGAAGCATCACCCATTTTAAAGATGCATATGATGTGTTGCTGTGTTATCGTGAGCTGCATCAGTTAATTTGCATTCATCATAATGATTTTGTATTTTAAAGGCCATTGGCAGCATTTCTGAATGTTTTAGTACCTCCCTTGGGTTTCCAACTTTACTTGAATACATTAGTACTTTCAAGTCTGTCACATAGAATATCTGTCAAAGGATGATCAGGAGTTAGCAAAGCCAGAACTGCGCATCTTATTTCCATCCCTTCTTCCTTTTGAGGATATATCCCCTTTTTTCAGTTCTTCTGTCTTAAATGAATACAGAATTTAAATGTATGTATTTTTCCAGTGGGGAAGGTGATACTTTTAAAAGAATTGAGCTTAAGCTCATGTTTCTGGATGACTTTATGACTTTCTTGTGATCCTTCAGACTCAAACTATATTCATTTATTACATTGTAATACAGGTAGCCCTCAAATTAGAACCACAACTGGGTTCAGAATTACTATTTGCTAAGTTGTTAAATGAGTCACAGCCAATTTTATGACCTTTTTGCCATGGTTGTTAAGCAAATCACTGCAGTGAGTCATACGGTTGTTAAGCAAATCTAGCTTCCCCTATTGACTTTGCTTCAGGCTGCAGTCATCATAAATACATGCCAATTACCAACTGGCTGAATTTTGATCACGTGACTAGAGGGATGCTGCCGTGGTTGCAAATTGCAAGGAGCAGTTGTCACTTTTTTCAGTGTTGCTGTAACTTTGAACAACCATTAAACAAATAGGTGTAAACCAAGGACGACCTGTAGTAATTCAGTATGGGTTTATATACGTTATTATTGCCATTTTTTTCCAGTGGAATAGGAACTCACCCAAATCTGATCATTTTGTAAATGTCTTTAAAGAAATCAAAGTTGATTTCGTGGCAGAGATGAAAAGTTCTAAAACATCTCTCCTTGACTTTCAATTTATTTTTTATCAGTTATTTTACTCTTTTAATTTTTTTTTAAAAAAAAATCAATGTGTAGGTTTATCTAGTAAATACCTAATTTTGGGTGTGTCAGGGGGAAACAGTTTGATAGCACTGTAGTTTTCAATTGGCTCGGTAAATTTGATTCTTGACCACATCCCAGAATTGTTTCTCTTTTGTTTGCTTCTATACTCTCACCTGTTCTGTAACATTGTTGTCACTAGGGTGAAGGGATGTCCCCAATGTTTACTTCTGAGTCTGAATATCATCATCCACAGGAATTTTGTGGAGATATCTTTCTTTCTCAGTTAGCTTATTCTGTGCCCTGAATTTGAAGTGCTATCTTTCAGAGTTTTGCTTTTGTTCTCTCTATTGTTCGTAGGTAGCAAATTATTTTCCACTGGTTATTTCCCCTATGTCTTCTAAAATCAGAGACCTCATTTTCTCCATTGGCTTCCAACATCAGCCTTTAAACAGGAATCCAGGATGGGCTTTTCAAAATATTATTTGCATATGCAAATAGTAAAACAGAAGAACATCTATTGCATTTTGCCAAGCAGTTGCCATTGCCTAGATTTAGTCAAACTTTAATTAGATCAATTATTAATAATAATCAGAACAATTAATAAAATAGTAATCAAAATAATAGTTAACTTACACTAGAGTGGATTTCCTTAACAACTCTGCCAGGGTATTTTAAGATTATACTTGCAGCTTTTGTTCATGTACTTAGAGTGAACTATTCAAATTACATAGACATTCAGCTATTGCTGTGTTACATTGTATGCTGCTATTTTTGCAGCAAACGTTTCTGTTGCATTTTGTTAAATAATCAGTGACCTATTTCAGCAGTTACCTTTGGACATTGCTCATTGTTCATAAATGCCCAGATGCTAAGGCAACACACAATTTCCATGCTTGACCTTTTCTTCCCTTCAGTACTTCCTTCATTATAGAATTCCTTGCTTGAATTAAGCCCAACTGGTGTATTACACGAGAACCAAGGAATTTTCATGTAACTTAAACCAGAATTTGTATTGTTACTATGCATATCCTTGGAAAGAAGTCCTTCACAACTCACAGGAGCTTAGACAAAGCACGTTTCTTGGGGCAATTAAAGCAGTTGCATCTTTTTCCAGACTCATTTAACTGCTTCATAAATTCAACTACTTATAAATGCTTCATAAGCAACTGGGGGCAGGTTACAAAACAGCTGTGCAAGCTTCTGGAAAGGCGTAGAAGTTTGGCTGTTGATAGCAAACCCAAGTGAAGCCTTTGGAACAGGCCCTTTGCAAGAATTTCTGTTATGTGGATGAAACATCTGTCTTCAAAGAGTTAAAATAGCCATGTCCTTTGAAAGCTGACCTTGTGCTTGGCACCAGCACAGGAAAACATATGCAGGTAGAGACAGCTGGGAATAGCAGTGTGAAGCTTGCAATCACAGTACTGTTTTAGTACTGGGGGGGGGGGAAAGGTGTTTTCTCTGGGACAGGGTGGATTTGATTTAAATCGAGTTGATTTAAATCATAATTTTTAAAGAGCAACTGTCAATTCTGTCATGCAGCAGCAGCTCCTTCTCTGACCCGCTGTTGACTCACTGACAGTCCCATTCACTTTAATGGGATGGCTGGTGATGCAGCAGTAACACAACAAGGTGAGGGACAGCAGGTGAGTGGATGCCCGCTAACAGGCACTGCCATGATGGATCTGAAATGACAGGTGCTATTTAAATGTAAGATTCTTGCTGGTAGTTAGAATCTTTAATATTATTATTATTTGCAAACAAAATGAAGGTTTCCTAGTTAGAATAATAAGCTGTCGGGTTAGTAAACAAGCGATATCAAAACCGATTTTAGGTTAATAGGTTAATCACTCATCGTTGGAGAACTACTCAAATTCTTTTATTTAATTAAAGCACTTAGATGCATTTCTCTTCAAACAATCATACAGTTTGTAGCGTACATAAATTTGCAAAACAATGGGATAAAAGGAATATTCCTGAACTTTGTTTTATGATTTATCTCATGGTTACTGTGAAATTGTGTGAACGCATCCGTGCAGTGCATGTTATCTCAGCTTGCAGAGCTTGGATTCACTGAATGAGTTTACCAAAAATGTAAATATTGCAGAATATACAGCCTCATGCTACATAACTAAGCTCCATTTCCTGCTGAACAAACTAAATTATTAATGTATCTTAAATAGAAAACTATCTTTAGATAGATTTTTACTCCAAAATCATTTTATTAAAATAAATTTGATAAAAATTAAAAAAATCTGATTTAAATAAAAAAAAAAACCTATTTTTTTATTATTGTTTTTTTTTTAAATCATCTATTATTATCTATCCTGCTCTGGGATAATGTGCTTTATAAGTCACCTGTTTTGAATAGTTTGCACAATTAAAGATGAGGTCATTCGTTTCTCTGAAATGTTTTCTTATGGACATTTTAAATAATCAGAAGAACTTTCCTTCCTGATTTTTATCTTAGAGCCCATGCAGAAGCATCATCTTCCGTGAATCATGATGTGCCCACCACCATGGATGAGAAAATGAGAAACAGAGAAGTAGCGAATGAAGGGAGCGATGAGGAGAAAGCTCTAGAGTCCAATAATGTTTCTCAGGCAGAAGGAAAGAAGAAAAAGCAGCGTTCTGGATTTCGAGACCGTAAGGTATGTCTTTATTAAACTGGGTTTATTTGAATTAGTGGTCAAGAGAAACCTTTTCCCAGGCCATTTATCTTTATTTTTTTATATCGTGCCTTAGTTATGTTTACAAATAACTCAAGGGGACAAACACATCCAACACTCCTTCCTCCTCCTATTTTCCCCTGTGAGGTGGGTTGGGCTGAGAGAGAGCGACTGGCCCAAGGTCACCCAGCTGGCTTTCATGGGTAAGGCTGGGACTTGAACTCATGGTCTCCTGGTTTCTAGTCTGGTGCTTTAACCTCTAATAATCCCACAAATATTTTTGAGAATGACAAGGATAGAAATGAATGGTTTAAACAAGGATACAAATCAGATGAATTATTTTTCATACATGTAGATGGGATTTGGATTTTTTTTTTTCTGAGTTTGAATGAGAGAATTGTGAATTCTAGTTATGATAGATGTCATTTGGGCCATGAAGTCTAAACCTTTGCTCAGTGCAGGAAATTAAATAATTTTTGCATAAATGGCTGTCTAATGAAAGGAAGTCCACCATCTGTTTGGGTAATTGATTCCATTATGAAATGTGTTGTATTATTAAGGGTTTCCCCCTCCCCCAATATTTAGTTGAATTATTTATTTTAGATTATTCTGTCTTCTCCATTCTGAAATCATAAAAACCTTGACTTTCGTTATGTGCTATCCTTTTTGAAAATTAAGCTGGAATGTGAAAGCCAGCTCAGAGCTAAATATGCCCTTGTATATCTTTTCATAGGACTTAATTCTAGTTCCCTAATCACCCTTGTTGCCCTTCTCTGAACATTTTCCAATTTGTCAGAATTGTTAAAACATGGTGTCTAAAATTGGACATAGTATTTGTAGTGAGATCTGAGCAGTATTACGATTTCCTGTGATCTAGAAATTATATTTCTTTTAATGCAGGCAAAAATTGCTTTTAACTTTTTTGTAGCCACCTCACATTGCTGTGACGTATTTAGATTGCAATTGGCTGCTTACTATACTATAGTTTTTGACAAGAACTATTATTAAACTAGGAGTTTCTATCCTCTGACTCTACACTTAACTATCATTGTCTTTACAGTACATTCCAGAAGCTTGTCAAGTATCAGGATTGAACTAACTAGTTCCTGGTTTTGTCCTTTTTGAAAATTGGGAGAATTTTCTTCTCCAATCATTTGGTCCTTCAGTAGTTATTCAAGATTTTGTAAAAGTAATATACAAATGTTCAACAACAACAACAGCAACAACAACTTTATTGCCACTTTGAATGTACACCAATCGGGATACATCAAAATGAAATTTCGTTGCATACAGCTCTCACAGGGTCACCACCTCCGATGTACACTCCTTGTTCGTGGCCAGCTCAAGTTTCAGATCGTCCATTTTAGTCTCTAGGGAGCGAACGATAGCAAACAGGACAGGACAGATGGAAACGGAACTCCATGTGGATTAGCTCTCAAATTAGCTTGTATTCCTGCAGGACAAGCTCGCCTCCTTTCTTTTTTCTGATCCTATCTCTTCCACCTTTTTCTTAAAGAGGCCTCGCTTCTTTTTGCCCCTGGAGCACTCTGCCGCCACCACCAACTCCTCCAAAAGCTTCTCTCCCTTCCTCTGGGCCTGCCAACAACCTCATCCAGTTCCTTCGCTCCATAAGCCCTGGGATCTCTCCTCCTCTGCCTCCTTTGGAAACAGTCCTGATTTGCAATAGAATCCGTTTCTGAGCCAGCAGTCAATTCTTCTGCTGGCAGAACAATTTCAAACAACCCCAATGACTTTTAATGGTCTCACCAACAGTTCCGAAACAGGTAGAACAGTGGTTCTCAACCTGTGGGTCAGGACCCCATTTGGGGTCGATCGACCATTTAACGGGGGTCGCCAAGCAAGGCTGTCCGCCATTTTTTCCCCTTTTCCGGCGGGTGCCTTACCTCCCTTGGGGTGGGCCAGTTGGTGGTCGGCCTGCTCTGTCTCTGCCGCTTGCCAGCTACGCCTCGGCTGGCGCAGGGGGCGGAACCACGCATGCGTGGCGCTCCCGAGCAGGGAAAGTCCTCGACTTACGACCGGTTGGGTAGTCCTCGACTTATGACCGGTTTAGTCCTCGACTTACGACCGGTTTAGTTCTCGACTTACGACCGGTTGGGGTCGCGGCATTAAAAAGGTTGAGAACCACTGAGCTAGAAACTCACCATGCCAGCAAAGAATGTCGGTCGTATGTTACCTTAGTTCCACCACGTTCCTCAAACACATTAAAACCTTCCCAATCACGTGGCCTATATCCCTTACATCCCTCCCAAAACTTTTCACCTAAATGTTCAGGCCATCATGCAGTGTTTTAATACTATAAGATATAGGCTCTGGGAATTTCAATTCATTCAGGGTAAATAGGCACTTGTAATCATTTTTTGTATCACTCTCAAATTTCAATCCTGTCCCTTCTTAGAAGGGAACGAGGCTTTGGGCTTGAGGGTGAAGGAAGCATATGGGAGCATATATAGTTTGTTTCATCAGCCAGTTGAGAGCCATGCCACGGAAGAGAAAATAAGTCTTTTCTGGAAGTCTACAAGTGATCTCTTATTCATTTGTTCCCATTGACATGATTCTCTCTAAATATGTGTGGATGACTTGCAAGATTGTGTTAATGTAGCCTTACAAGAAAGTAGAATTTGTTCATCTAATTCTGTTTCCTGTCTGGTTTACCTGGGAAGGCTGACATCAGTCTTGCAAGCCTGAAAGTACAAACTTTCCTTTGCCACTTTTATCTACTTGATCCATTAGGGCGGGTCCGTCCTATGTTTCTTTGCCTGACTGTTAAGCCACTGGGGTTTCCTGCCTCTCTTCTCTGATTGTATCCTAGGCAGCATCTCTTCCCTCCTTTCCCAAAGATCATAGAAATAGTAGTTGTCAACCAATGTTATTATTACTAAGGAGTTATTTTGTCCAATCATTTCCAAATCAAATTATTCTATCTCAGCAGTATGTCTCCTGTGGGAAATAAACAGGCCTGGAATGACCAATTAGCTTACCAAAAGTAAAGTCATGGGAAATCTGGCAGAGGAGATTGCGGGTTGCTTGGATAAGTCTCCCCAACCATGCAACCTCCCATAGCTTCTCTGCACTCGTGGTGTGCCTCATCAGCAACCCACAGACCCTCATGCATCCTCCCCATGCCCCACTGGACTCACACCGTGCTTATCCTGCCACTTGTGCACCCTTGTGCACCTTGCCAAGCCTAGTTGTGCTCATGCTACACCTCTCTGGTCACCTATGCACCCTCATGGATCTTTCCCCACCTGGCAGCAGCCACCCCAAGCCTCATGCTGTGTCGGAGATGACCAGGCTGAGCTCAAGGGCAGAGTCAAATGGGTCACCATTTTGGAGTTGTTACGCTTCTACTACAGACCTAAATCCAACTCCCTGTGAATTCTATTGACTCTTATTTAGCGCCAATTTGCTTTGACTGTTACTAGATCAGATTCTTAGCAGGAAATAAACTCATAGTCCTTTTGGACTCTATTCTGGCTCCTGATTTCTTGCACTTGATATGCTGCAACTTGAAGGTTGCAAATATTCATCAATATTCAACTATAGGGGTTAGAAACTATCTGGTTCCTCTTCCGTGCTAATAAACATTTGCTTTAGGATTTTCTTGCAATTTTTAATTTTTTTCTTTTATGGTTATTGTATCATATGCTGGCCTTTTATTGTGTTTGATCTTGGACTGTGAATACATTTTGATTGCTTGGAATGAGGCAGGGGAATTAAACTGTGGTGGTATTTTCTTACTGGAAAAGCTTCACTCACAAAGTAGGACTGATTGTCATTTTTATTTCAGTGCCAATTTTAACTGCATTCTCCCAATTATTTCTTCATTATGGTGCTGGTTTGTTGTCTGCTCTGTTGTTTTTATGCTTAATTTGTTTTTATTTTTTCAGAATGTTCCACTATTTCTGGACTGAAACCTAATTTGGCTTTTATGTCTCTTGCAGTCTGCCTGGAGGGTAGATTCAAAATTCTGATAGATAAATAGATCCTATCAACTCAGTTTGGGCCATTAGATAGAATTATATATTTATGTCAAAAAATGGCTAAGCTATTGGAATTTAGAAACTTTTCACTTCCAGTATTTTTCTTTTTAGGTGATGGAATATGAAAACAGGATCCGAGCTTACTCTACTCCAGATAAAATCTTTCGATACTTTGCCACATTGAAAATCATCAATGAGCATGGAGAGTCGGAAGTATTTATGACCCCACAAGATTTTGTGCGATCTATAACACCAAATGAAAAGCAACCAGAAAGTAAGTTGCCTTGGATATTGTGATGGAAAATAGAAGCTGCTAGGTACACCAGTAATCTTGGTTATTTCCTTCTTTGGAAAAGCTAATTGATGCACTTAGATTGATTTCCGTTGTGCAATTTTATGCCAGGGACCATTTTTCAGTTTCTCCCACCTCATTTTTAATGTTCTCCAGCACATGGTTTTAAACAATTATTGAGATAATCTTTATAAGGCTGAAAGAGCCTTATAAACGTTTTTATTGCAAGATCTAGTCAACATGTTGTAAAAGTAATGTGAGTAATTGGCACATTATTTAGTTTTTTATTAAGGTACATGACTCTTCATGAGCATGAAGTTTTATAACAGCTTTTTCCAACTTAGTATATATATATATATATATATACATCAGTATGAATCAATCCACTGCAGGACAAAGGTCTTCACTGAAGCTCATAGACTAAACTATGGTGCAATGCAGTGCAGTATGATATTATATGATCCAATATTGCATTTTCAGCATCCATTCCCACCCACCTCCCCAAAATTAGTTTTTTTCCTGAAACAAAGACAACCAGTAAACATAAAGTAATAATTGTCACAGTTGTAAGAATAGCTGAATTTATTGTGATTTTTAATCTACAGAAATGTGGCAAACAGGTGTTAAAATGATCCATGATCATTCATCACAAAGTAGATCAATTTGCGTATTTTGGACTACTAATTCCTGTTGTGCTGGCTAATGATTGCAATGAAGTATTTCATTTATTAAATCCTGTATCAGTATTGTTGATTTTTTATCAACTTAGCATTATTTGTAAAATCATAGTTTTGGAAAGGGACCATGGAGAGGTTTTCGATCATCCTCTATGAAGAGAATCCATATATCATCCCAGACAAATAGCTATTCTATTTGAAAGTCTTTGAACAACAGCCCCCAATCTTTTGGGCATCAGGGACCGGTTCCGTGGAAAGAGGTTTTTCCACGGACCGGAGTGGGTGTGGTTTCATGCACTGCCTGCATCCCATAGATGGGGTTTCACTTGTTTTCACGGACCGGTTTCTGGCATGCTGTGGACTGTGCCAGTCCACAGACCGGGGGTTGGGGACCTCTGTCTTTGAAGATGGAGCAGCAGACTGTTCTACTTTTTAGTTGTTCTTGCAATCAGGAAATTCCACCTTATTTTGAGTTTTGTATCCCCCCCTGAAAAGTTTCCACATGGTGCCCCTTATCCTATTTTGGGAATTATGGAAAATACATCTGTACCCTCTTTCTGCGAAAGCCCTTCAAGAAATTTAAAGGCTGTTATCATCTTTCTTGTTGATCTTTTCTTCCTTAGGCTAAACATATCCGGTTCTTGTGCCAATGAGAAAGTATCTATTCATATATTAGTTCACTGTTGTGGATATTGCTTTTAAATGATTGGCATCAATTACCACTAGATAAAAAGCATGGCTTTTCTTATAACGATATAGAAGGAGGCTCAAAAATATTGTCTTAGGTTTGCTGATATTACTGTTTTATCTTTCTATATTATCTGTGAAGGAATGACTGGCATATATATATTTAAACTAAGAAATATCTTTAATTCAAGGTATTATAAGTAGATTATGCTTACAGTTTTCCATTAAAGAGAATTTATTGGTTGTAAAACACATGATTTCATTCTATGGGGAAAATCTAACCCATTTTCCAAAATCTTATTCCCAACCAAAACTTAAAGAAGAAAACTTCAAGAAGTATATCTTCTACTTAAAGAAGTAAACTTTAAAAAGTGTTTCCTCTACTTCAGGGGTGTCAAACTGCCAGCCCGCAGGCTGGATGCATCATAGCAAAACTGTGCCCATCCCATTTCCGGCAATGGCAAAAAAGTGACATTGCGAGTTTGACACCCCTGCTCTACTTCAATGTTTCTCAACCATGGCTGCTGACTATGGAATTCTGTGAGTTGAAGTCTACACATCTTCAAGGAGCCAAGTTTGAGAAACACTGCTCTACGTCCCCAACCCCATTCTTAACCCCAACCCCAGCATGGTGGCTGGAGAATTCTGGGAGTTGAAGTCCACTCATCTTAAAGTTGCCAAGTTTGAAAAACACTGCTCCATACTTCCATTAAGCAAAGTATTTTGTAATCTCTTAATGACAACTAGTGTTTACTATGTAAAAGGAAGGACACAGTTTTTTTCTGTACAGGCCAGACTTTCTGAAGCACTAATTCCATCCAAGTGTGCTGTTTCCAGCTACATGATTAACGGTTATAGTAGCTGGGAGATGACAAGAGTGCAATTGAGGTAACATAGTGAATCAGAGAAAAAAAGCATACCTAATTGCAGGTAAAAGATGATGGTGATATTGTTAGGAGGAGGAGGAGTAATTAAAGAGAAAGGTTTATTATACAAACCTGTAAAAGATGTTACTAGATAAAAAAATTAACCCACTACTATCCAGTAAAATTACTTTCCTGTGTTTTTCATGTTTGATTTGATGGTTAAAGCTTAAGTGATGCATTTTCTTTAAAGAAACTGCCAAAATGTCATTTTCAAAATATGCTAATAAACCTGTTTGGTTTTATTCCCAGATTTAGGTCTTGATCAATTTGTGGTGAAACGCTACGATGGAAAGGTAAGATTTCTAAATCTTTGGATGCATCTTCATTGTATTTCTAACAATGGTGGGATGAGGAGGGGGATGGAGAGAGGGAAATATGTCCTTTTTTTCTATTCTACGTATAAAATAAGTAAAGCCCTGTCATTTTTCAAGCAGACACTATTCTTTTGAATGCAACTACATCTAAATTCTAAGGAGCTTTTCTACTGTCTCTTACGAAGCACTAGAAGCAACATCATGTTTCAAAGTAAAAAAAAATGGCTTGCTCTTCTGCTATTTGTGCTGTGTCATTGCAGCAAAATTGGTACTCCACTTTCCTCTTTATTATAAATTCACACGTACAAATTTTCAGGGATTTATTTTTTTCCTGTTTCAGAGAAATGGAATATATAAAATGGCTCTCATTTTTCTCTTGAAAATGGAAATAGGAAGGTGTGCCTTTTGCTACCATATCCACTGTATCCTCATTGGGTATCAATATCCTAAATTCACTGTAGTCCTCTTATATAGATATGTGGGTCAAATCAGAAAGCTAAACTTACAGGTTGAGAAAAGGTCATTTTCATCTTAATACTTTTTTCTCTCCTTCATCTTCCTAGGTTCTTAACTCTTTGGGTAACGCACCCAAATAAAAGTCAGTCCTTCTGTTTTTTTTCTTTTTTCTTTTTTAATGTTTACTGTTTCTTTTCTTTTGATTTTGCTTTCTTCTACCTTTTACAGGCTAATCTATCATTGCAATAAACTGCAGTGTTGCTTGTGTAGTTTTAAGTTTTTGAACTTTTGCTGATCTTTCTGTTCTTCTAAGGCCGACTTCCCTGTTTTTTCCAGAGATAGGATAGCATTCCCATCACCTGCCCTGGGATAGTAGAAAGAAGTCTAACATGCAGCCACATTGTTTTTCCTCCATGTCATTTTGCTCCCTGCAGATGTGGGATGGTGTTCTGCATTTTTATCAGCACATCTGGAAGGGCAGAAGGAATAATTTAAGTTGTCATTGGTGACAGCTTCAAATGCATTCAGTTTAAGCCCCTGCTGTCAACTATTTATCAGATTGACTGATGGAACAAGCTGATTAACATACTTATTGGTTATTCTAGAGTGTGATTAAGAAACACTGTGGCATTTAATATTTGATACCATTCTCTGAACTATCAACTTCCTTTTGTCGAGAAGGAAGCACAGGTAGTCCTTGACTTATGCCCAGTTGGGACTAGAATTTCTGGTACTAAGTGAGTCACACCCAATTTTATGACCTTCTTGCTATGATTCTTAAGTGAATCACTGCAGTTATTAAATGAGTCACATGGTCATTAAGTAAATCAAGCTTCCCATTGGCTTTGCTTGTCAGAAGCCAGCTGGGAAGGTTACAGATGGTGATCACAACCCCCCTCCCCCATGCTGCAATTATCATAAATATATGTCAGTTGCCAAGTGCCCAAATTTTGGTCTCATGGGGATGCTGCAACAGTTGTAAGTGCAAGGACTGATTTTAAGTCACTTTTCTTCAGTGCTGTTGTAACATCGAGTAGTCTCTAAACAAATGGTTACAAGTTGAGGACTAACTATATAATTTAAAGTGTGCAATCAAAGTATTGTCGATTTTTAAAATGGGTATGATACCTTTTGAAACTGTTTTCTCCAAAATGCTCCAAAATAAGACATGATATTTGGCCATATACATTTTTCTAATGTGTAATAAGTATATATCCTATAAATAAGTACAATGGTTTGCCTTTTTTCTAAAATACTGCATTAGATTTTTAGACCTTTATTTGTTTTATGGACCCTTGTGTCACCCAGTTTATAATTTCATCATAGAAAAACAAATGTCTTAACTGTAGTTAATTTGAACTGGAATTGTCGAGCAATTTTGGATATGTTTGAAAAGACAATTTAGATATCTCTTCATAAGAGCCCTGTTTGGGAGGATCAGGAACTTAAGATTTGGTTGTGCTGGAAAAAAAGTAGTTTTTTTCAGTGGGTTCCCTATATTCTTTTGCTGATTTATCTCATTCATATTACTTTCAAATTGCTTTTCTTAGCTTAATAGAACAGTCCTCTTGGTATGCATTGCAGGAGAGGGAAAACCTAAATTAGCAATATGTGCACAGATTTAATTATCAGTGTTGTATACATATTTATATAAATTGCTGCTTTTCCTTCAAAATCTCCAATTGTTTGAAAAGATTTTGACAGATGGTACCCTGCTTTGGTGTAGCTTATCAGGAGAAGTTATTATTTGTATAACCATGTCTGTGCCTTTTACGACACCCAGAAGATGAGTTGTTAGCATATATTTTAGTAGATTTGTTCTCCAGATAACTGGGCCAGCTGCCAAAGATATATTGGAATCTCAGGTTAACCATTAAGTCAGCCATTAATTTTAAGTGCAATGGTTAATTGGGTTAATTTGCAGTTCCACACTGAGGTTATTATCAAGGAAAATAGGTTCCAAAGAACCATCTGCTTCTGCAGCCTTAGTTCCTGAGGTGTTTTAGGGCAGGGGTCTTCAAAACTGGTCCTTTTATGACTTGTGGACTTCAACTCCCAGAATTCCTCAGCCAGGCATGCTGGCTGAGGAATTCTGGGAGTTGAAGTCCACAAGTCATAAAAGGGCCAAGTTTGAAAACCCCTGTTTTAGGGTATAGCTTCCATTCCTTGTTAACATGGATGTCTATTATCCAACATGTGGAAGACACCAAGCTGGAGAAGAAGAGAAGAGATTGGTAACTTTGGTAACTAGAGGAGTGATTGGTAACATTGTCTTTTTCTTATAAAAGTTGTTTTATATCTGCAAACTGGAGATGATGGTAGAGGGCAATCAGGCTGCCACATCCGCCTCCCATTATGACAGGGTTGATCCAGCTGATCTGGTTGGATAGGTGGTTGTCCCCTTCCTACCTCAATGCTTCATGTGTGTTCTCTCAAAGCTGGAAGAGTACACCGGAAGAGGACAACCAGATAGAAGAATATATGAACTGTTGGTTTCTTCTTGGCTCTGCTGAAACTTGAAAGCTTCATATTTTGTTGGCATAAACTGAAAGTACTGAACTAGTCTATTATATATATTGTATATATGTATATTCCTTCTGTTCTTGATATTGTTGCAGGCAACTTGAAGTGTCATTGATTTCCTCCCCTTTATTTGTTGCTTCTAAGGAGTTCAGCAATTCTTTCTTCCTGAAATGTTAACTTCCTATTTTTATTCTGTGGTTCCTGCCGTTATGATGTACATGATATTTTTTGTTGCTTTATTTTTCCTATTGTTGTAACAAACCTTTGCTCATTTTCTTCCTTTTCTTCCTAACCTTTACCCCTCTTCTCAGGATTTTTGGCAGGTACTGACTTGTCAGCATGTGCTTTAACCAGTTTGTGCTTCAGATCCCATATCCACCCCCTTTAAAAGGGACAGCATATAAATATATATATATATTCTCCATCATCTTTCTTAAAATAGAAGTTTTCTTTACTTGGATAGTGCTACTTAAATAAATTAAAATGTGGGCCTTTAAAAGTTTTTTGATAGAAAAAACTACTAAGGGGAATTCATTGCTAAGCTATTTCATATACTGTGCAGGTTTTAGTTTTGATTTTTTTAATTTATGTAAAGTCACTAGATCCATTTCATTACCAGGCTTAACAGCTTCCTGGATGCATTTTATGAACATTTTCTATTCTTTGACCAAATGAAATAATATTTTTTCTTTATGATGAGAGAAATAAAACATGTTGATTTAAGGTATTGAATATTTTATGTCCCATAAAAATAGAAAAAAAAAGAAAAACAGAAAAGTTGATTTAAGGAACAGGGCATTTCCTTGAGCTTAGTTGTGTTCAACATAGTACAGGAACATATTTTCAGTATAATACATTTCTATTATCAGTTTCCTTGAGATACCGGTAATAACTTTGGCTCCTTTGACACACTTGATTTTTTTTCACAATTTTTACTAAGCCATTTGAATGAAAAAGATTGGCTCCCAAGAAGATATGAATAGAAATTTACTGTTGATTTTTAAACTGCATTTCAGGATCATCCTATCATAAAAAGTGTTTTGCGGTAAATTATGAAGGAATTAGTAATGAGTGTTAGAGAAGAGCTGTCTACAGACTCCACTTAGGATTACATTAAAATAGAGGTGGGCAATTAATTTTCCCAAGGGGACACATGAGAAACTGAGATAGTACATAGGCATGCACACATGTACATATGTAAATTGAAAAAAAATAGTTGTGTTCGAAATAAAAGTAATCCACATTGACTGAACAGGGACAGCCAAAGGGCCAGATGTGGCCAGAGATTGTAAAAATCTTAGGTTTGCATTAAAAGCTGTTTTGCTGTTAATATTGTCTTTTTAAAAATGCAAATAGCATCAGAAAAAAATTGATAATTTGGACACAGTTCTCATGCAGAATAAATTATATCCTCGGCTTTCTGAACCTGCAAGTGCAAGATTTCCTCCCAGTGCAAATCCCACTTTCAGAAATGGGATTTGTTCTTCAACAGATATTCAGATCACGGATATCACTCTTCCCCTAATCCTTCTCCAATACCCAATGCTAAAGGTAGTCCTTGACTTATGATCACAATTGGAACCTGAATTTCTGTTGCTAAGTGATGGGATCATAAAGCACGAATCATGTGACCACATTGTTTAGCGATGGCAATCCTGGTAGCCCCGGTTGCTGTTCTGCATGTTATTAAATGGGAAGTAGATGTGAGTTCCAGGTAAGGAATACAGAGGTTGAGCAAATGCTATTCAGGGAGGCCAGGGAAAAAGGATTTAAGGCAGTGGTGGGATTCAAATATGTGAACAACTGTTCTCTCTGTGGATGCCACTTCCGAAAGTCCATTCTGGGCCTGGGCAACAAAAAATTAGCTAACAGTTCTGCCGAAGTGGTGCAAACTGGCTGAATCCCACCACTGATTTAAGGTATGTGCGTGCATGTGTGTAAGTGCAGGAAGACCAAGGAAAAAATACATTGTGGCTCGACGTTTTCTTGGTGCATCATCG